GTGGCTAGTGGGTTTGAACTGCTGACCTTGTGGTTCCAACTGACCTTGTGGTCTAGTACTCATCCTCAAGTGCCACACTATATCCGTTTGGGTGTCTTAAATAAAAGATCTAATCAAGACTGGTTTCTGGGGAGTTTAACTGGGCCAGCTCAGTTCAAGGCAGAGGGGTCAGCTCAGAGTTGTAGAGACTGCTTTGGGGGGACTTCCAAGGGGTCATTTTGTTAGATTGGCTCAGAAGACACAGGACAACCTCTGGGGCTCATGTGGAAGACGTTTCAAGGAAACGGAAAGTTGCGTTGGTGAGAAGGGCTGGAATTCCCCCAACCCAGCGGAGAGCCTCCTCATTCTTCCTGGAGGATTTCACAGGACCGTACCCCATCTACCCTCCAGCCCTGATCTCGCCCCTTCACACCTCATTTTGTTCCTCAAACTCAGAGAATCTGGGTGGGAGGGAGACAATTTAAAACCCTCAAGGATGCCAAACTGCCATTCTGAGGGGACCTCAATGGAAGAGTGTAGAATTCTTCGGGGTTGTTACCAGCCGTCAAGCTGATTCCAACTCATAGTGGCCCCGTATAGGGTTTCTGAGGAGCAGCTGGTGGATTTGAACCACCGAAATTGCAGTTAGCAGTCCAGTGCTTACCCAGACACCACCTTCAGAATTGTATGGACTTAGCTGGAGGATATGTCGAGAATCAGTAGCTATATATTTTTATATTATAGTTTAATAAAGGTTTCTATGATTATGTCTATCACTTGTCTATTAGTTAGTCCTGCTGTACTGGGTTATGCTGCTGGGATTCTGGAAGCTATGCCGCCGGTATTTTAAATACCAGCAGTGTGACCCATGGTGGACAGACTTCAGCGGCGCTTCCAGAAGGAGAGGCAGCCGACCAAACAAATGTGTGTGGTAAGAAGTACAGCCAGAATGCTCCTTAGAAGGCTAGTTAGCCAGGCTTTGTCTCTCGTACTTCAGACTTATTATCAGGAGGGACCAGTCCTTGGAGAAGGACATCATGCTTGATAAGGAGGATCAGTGAAAACCACGAAGACCCCCAATGGAATGGGTTGACGTAGTGACGGCAGCAATGGGTTCAAAGGCAGCAACAGTTATAAGGATGGTGTAGGACTGGGCAGTGTTTCGTTCTGTTGTGGGTTCACTGGGCTGGAACCGACGTGATGGCACCTAACAGTGATTTTGTAGCAATAGTTTTTTACTTACCCTCATACACAGAAACGCTACCTGCCGCGGTCCCGTCGCATCTTCCTCATCATTGGTCTTCTCCAGCCCATGGGGTGGGCACTGTGTCTTCTGAGTGACTTCGGACCATGGGTGGTCATCTCCCGGCACCATATTGGGCCAAGTGAAGGTGACAGACTCAGGAGCACTCTGGACAGCTCTGCTCTGTCCTACTGTGTCCGCTGTGAGTCGGAGCCACCTCGATGGTCTGGGCATCCGAGAGCCTTCCCCTTCTCATTCCTCTGGTGCCTCAGACCTGCTGCTGCTTTTGCTGCGGGATTTGACAAGCTTGTGGTCCACAGAAGACCCCTGTGCCATCAGAACCTTCGTGTTTCATTGGGCTTATTCCTCGCCTGTGTTAGTCTGGAAGCCTGCAAACATGCCCACCACACGTGACCCTGCTGGTACCTCACATACTGATGCCCCAGATCCCAGTGTCTCCCAATACCCACGTCACCACAGTGTGACACAATGACAGAGGGGTCGTGGCCTTGTTCCCTTCCCATCATGGGATGGCTGCTTCACTTTATCAATCATGGAGCTCTTTGGGGGCTGGACGCTTCGCCCGTGAAGACCTGCCAAGGGGTGTGGCGGGTTGTGCTAGAAAGAGCGTAGCATTTCCCACCTGGCATGGTCCTGGCCGAGTCACTGTCTAACTGTGTGGCCTCCAGCAAATGGCTTAACCTTACTGAGCCTCAGTTTACTCATCTGTGAAATGGGGCTCCTTGTGCACATCCTGGAGGATTGTCTCGGGATGGAGGGAGAACCACGTAACAACAGGTGCTGGCTGCAGCACCCTCGTCTCTCCACCTTTCTTCCCTTCTAACCTCTCTCCCTTCAAAACGGGGCTCTCGCTTCTCCCCTGAGTTCATCTTGCTTCTGACATGTCCAAGTAGGAGAGGATCAAAAAGTTAGTATCAGAGATGCGTTGTTGTTGTTGTTGTTAGGTACTGTCGAGTCACTTCTGACTCATAGTGACCCTGTGTAAGGGTTCCAAGGAGTTGCTGGGACGTTTGAACCCCTTGCCTTGTGGTTTAAACTGAGTTTGTGGTCCAGTGCTTATCCTACAGCACCACGCCAGGGTATGGAGAACTGTAGAGATTGAGAGCTGTAGAGATTTTTCATTACTGCTTTCACTATGGAGTTTAAGGAGCCTTGGTGGCAGAACAGTTAAGTGCTTGCTGCCAAAAGGTTGATGGTGCAAGCCAATCTCTCCAGCATCTCCTGGGAGAACCATGAGGCAGTTTGCTTCTGTAAAGGTTCTTGTTGTGAGGGGCCACTGAGTTGGTGCTGAGTCACATGACCTGCCATTGCTGCCCCCACTGTGTTGGTCCATCTCGTTGGGGGTCTTCTTCTTTTTCACTGACCCCCACTTTATCAAGCATGATGTCCTTCTCCAGGGACGGTCCCTGCCTTTACCATCCCCCATAAACTCCTAACTACAGATGACAAGTTCAATCAATGTCTAGCAGCCCTGCCTTGAGCTTCCCACCCAGGCATCTGTTCATGAAAACATCTCCTTCCCTCCTCTCTGCCTCTCCCCTCGCCTCCCCCCCCACCCCCCCAATCATTGTCTGCCAGGTCAAATCCAACATCCATCATATAGTCCACTCTGACTATTCACAATGCAGGTCACAAAAATGGCAGGCTGAGCAACGCTGGGATCCAGGGGGTGAAATTAGAAACACAGAGCGCTGAGCTGGGTAGCAAAGGGGTCTGCAAGCGCTCCAGAGCCCAGGGGTGGTGGTGGTG